AAAAAAAGAATCGATAAGAGAATCGATAAAGAATCGAATCGTTAAACAGAATCGAAAATGGAATCGGAATCGTGAAAATCTTATCAATACCCATCCCTAGTGCTCAGTGTTAAATGCTGCGTAAAGGGTTTCTATAAATCATTTAGTAAACATGCAAACATTTCTAGAAACATGTTTTAACTTGACTTCTTATTGATTTTTCTCCTGATATGCAAAAATCCAGAAAATCCAGTACAGGGAGTTAAGATCGCTGTGTGAACAGTAATCCACCCCAACGTCTCACTACATTTACAGATGGAACATTTTAGCACGCAGGCGCCGAAAACTCAAAACTGAGCAATAAATTATTTCAAAAACAGCCGCCAACTCCTGAACCCTCGCGGGAATCATCTCGGATCCATGTGGCAGAAAATAAACTGGTGTTGCTGTGTCGCTATCTAAAAAGACGTGGGAAACAACATAACACTGGAATCTGGGCAGCGTTTACTTTATAAATGAATTTATTTAGTAATACAGTGGTATACTTAGAAATGTGTTGCAAAGGAAAACAAATGAAAGTAAAATCAAAATAAATAAAAATGTCAGCCACACGGGGAAAAAAACCAAAAAACTAGTGTCGGGTTGAAGCAGTGTTGTCATATCAAAAGAAAAATAGTACTGATGTGCCATAATAAATTGTCTTAGTACAAAAATACATTTCAGGGCACACAATACAGCATCCAGTATCACAAAGAAAGGAAGGGACCACTCTTCACAGCAGCCCCCCTCAAATACGTCTTTTAAAATCATTTAAACCGAGCACTTCTCTATTTTGTAAATAAGAATAAAAAGTTTTCTGACAGTTAAAAATGCCTTAAGTAGTGTGTATGTTTGTAATGTGTGTACGTGTGTGTATACGTTGGTAGAAAAGTCGGACTTATTACTGCTTATGTCAGTTCCAAGGCTCAGGGGTATAACCAGAATACAAACATAACCAATGTAACCGCTTTCTCTTTTTTAAACAAACGTTTTCTCTTTTATACAAAATAACAAAGATGTACAAAAGTTCATTTACAGAGAACCAAGGCCATATGCTAGCATTATGTACAGCCACAACTTAAACATCTTCTAGCTTGTTGTTGTTGTTTTGTTTTTTTGTATTTCCTCAGACTTCATATGCATAGCAGTAAAAGAAAGCATACCTTTTTCATCAGTCTCAATTATTCTCGTGTGCTAAATCCGAGTTCACCGTTTTTAGGAGAAAATGCAGAGACAACGACGACAACTTCTTTTTCTTCTGCTTCTGCTTCTTCCGTAGTGATCGCTACAACTGAAGGAACCGATGTTTTAAAGTTTCACTGAAAAGTTAATATGCAGATAAGGCATCACTGCTTGCAGTGTACGATGGGATTTCTCATGTGTTGAACTTAGTAGTAGCAGGCTTCTGAACCTGAGTCATAGCACATGCATAGATCTCTAGACAGCAGGAGTTTGTAAAATCAAGTCAGTATATTTATCTACGGTAAAACATTTCTACAAAAAACACGTTTGAAACAGAGAGAACCCCGCTGAACGAGCGGGTGTCTGATACTAATACTTAACCTTCATTCTTGATTAGTTTTGTTTTTTTTTGTTTAAATCTCGATGATGCCTACGTCTTCATGAGTCACGCTGAGCAATTTCTCAAGTCCTCAGAGATCCATCATGAGTGAAACGCATGACCACAGAACTCACAAACAAAAGTTTTGCATATACAAACTTTGCTGTTTGTGAGTTGTTGTTATTTTATTTTTGTTTTTATTTTTACAGTATGCAAAAATCCCACTGCAATATTAAACAAGTTTTCAAAATTATCCTCTTTTGTTTTGTTTTGACCTCCTCCACCGCTCTGAACTTTTACAAAATTAGCTAAAAATGTCAAAATGTGATTATTCAGTCTGTGGCACTGGTCATGCATTCCAACTCCAGTTCCTTTTGTTTAAATAACGTTTTCATCTTTATTTTTTGCAAGCCTTGTAAGCACCAAACCAAAAAAAAAAAAGAAAGAAAAGAAAGAACGAGTACAGCCTTGGGGATGCTGGACTCTGACTCTCCTTGTGTGTGTGTTTTTTTAAGTTTTTTAAATTTTGGGCACAGTAAACAACGTGAGTTTGAGTTCATACTTCATCGAGCATTTTGCACCGCGGAGCGGGCACGGCAGGGGAGTCTCGGGTCCCCTGCTTTATCACATTCAGTAACAGGCCAGCTGTTGCCCTCTTCAGAAGTGGTCAATGAGCACAGACACACAGTTTGCACCCACCAGGTAGTTTGGGTCTCCGGGGAGAGATTTGTTCTGCCAAGTTTTGGGATCACCTGCGGGGAACAAGAGACATGACGTCAGCTGATGGAGAGCAGCTTTAAAATACAGAAAACTGAAACTGAAGGTACTCGAAACAGGCGATTTAATAAAAATGCAAAGGCTGGTGATTTCAAATGATAGTGCACAAATTAATGAAGGGTGTTTCATGAATTTATGTTCCTCAGATGAGTGCATGTAATTAAGTAATACTTAATTCATTT